AATTCAGGCTGGATTTAGAAGAGGATGTAAAATGAGGGGTATCATTTCTGATGTTAGATGGATCTTGACCGAAAGCAGAGAATACCAGAAAGATGTTTACCTGTGTTTTATTGATTCTGCAAAGGCATACGCCTGTGTAGATCATAATAAGTTATGGACAACATTGCAAAGAATGGGAATTCCAGAACACTTAATTATACTCAGGAGGAATCTGTACATACACAAAGAAGCAGCCGTTCAAACAGAACAAGGCGATACTGGCGTGGTTTAAAATCAGGAAAGTTGTGTGTCAGGGTTGTAATCTTTCACCATACTTATTCAGTCTGTCTGCTGAGCAAATAATCTGAGAAGCTGGACTATTAGAAGAAGAATACTGCATCAGGATTGGAGGAAGGCACATTAACAACCCGTGATATGCAGATGACAACCTTGCTTGCTGAAAATGAAGAAGACTTGAAATACTTACTGATGAAGATCAAACATTATACAGCCTTCAGTATAGATTACACCTCAACATAAAGCAAACAGAAATCCTCACAGCTGGGCCAATAAGCAACATCATGATAAACGGAGAAAATATTGAAGCTGTTAAGGATTTCATTTTACTTGGATCCACAGTCAACACCCATGGAAGCAGCAGTCAGGAAATAAAATGATGCATTGGGCATATCTGCTGCAAAAGACCTCTTTAAAGTGTTAAAAAGCAAAGCTGTCACATTAAGAACTAAGGTGCACCTGACCCAAGCTATGGTCTTTTCAGTTGCTTCATACTCATGCGAAAGCTGGACAGTTAGTAAGGAAGACTAAAGAAGAATTGATGCCTTTGAAGTATGGCGTTATCGAAGAATATTGAATATACCGTGGACGGGCAGAATAACGAACAAACCTGTCTTGGAAGAAGTACAGCCAGAATGCTTCTTAGAAGCGAGGACAGCAAGACTTTGTCTTACGTACTTTGGGTATGTTATCAGGAGGGCCCAGTCCCTGGAGAAGGACATTATGCTTGGTAAAGTAGAAGGTCAGCAAAAAAGAGGAAGACCCTCAATGAGATGGATTGATCCAGTGGCTACAACAATGGACTAAAACATAGCAAGAATTGTGAGGATGGCACAGGACCCAGCAGTGTTTCATTCTGTTGTACACGGGGTTGCTATGACTCGGAATCGACTTGACAGCACCTAACAACAACAACAGCAACAACAATTTTAAAAAAATTGTTGTTGTCTTTTTTTAAAAATTAGATTAAATGAATCAGGAAGGTGATTCACATTCACACTTTCCTATAGTGCCCTAGTTGCTTTCTTAAACTTTATTGTACGATCCTAAGGCTTAAGAAGTAGATACTATTTAAGAATAAATGAACCACAAACTTATTCTTCTAGCAGAATTCAAGTAAGGAATCTTTGGTTGTAAAATCAAGCTTAACTACAACTTGTCATACAGATTTTAAGAGCTCAAATTTGCTTTCTAGTTACTTGTGAAAACTTTTTGTTGACCAGAAGATAGAAATGCTTTGAACTTTGGCAGCGCTTTGTTGGGAAAGTATATTATTATTTAAGAAAACAGTGTGAAATGTTAACCTTTTGAGGGCCATAATCAGCTAAATGTCATTTGTAGTTACAGAAACAGAAAAGGAATTTTGTTAAGCATTTCTTGCCACAGTTAGTATCTTTGACTTAGGTGGTCTGTCTATAGTGATATTTAAGAAATACAGTTGTTAAAGTAGAAAGTAAGTTGTGTCTAAGAGCTTAAATTACCAGACAAGATTGCTGTTGCACAGAGATCAAATAAAGACGTTATATATTTATTTAGAATATTGGAGCTTAAAATGATCATACTGAGAAAAAGTTAAACAGCCTCTGTTAAAGAAGTAGAAATACTTTAGAGTTTCTAAGTCCTTTAGAGGTTTTCATAATTTCACCTTTTAATGGGTTCTGGTTAAACTGAATAAAGAGTAGGAAGGCCGCATTAGAATGCTGGGCCAGAGGTCTTAAATGTTAAGAGGACACTATACCAGGAGTGAAAAGTACTAGGAATGCAGAAGATTTTCCTTTGGGAGTTAAACAATTACATTATTTTTATTCTCATATATAAACTTCAAAATCTCAACCAAAACCCAAAAACCAAAGCCGATGCTGTCGATCACAGCAACCCTATAGGACAGAGTAGAACTACCCCATAGAGTTTCCAAGGAGCAGCTGGTGGATTTGAATTGCTGACCTTTTGGTTTGCAGCCAAGCTCTTAACCACTGGGCCACCAGGGCTCTTGAAGAGATGCTGATTCATTTCAAAGACTTAAAGTATTACTACTACCAAATCAATTTTTGTACTGTATTTTGATTTAAAAACCTCGAGTGTGAAAATAGCTTTATAATTGAGGTTTTTATTAGTTTAATTAAAAAATAAACAGCTTTACTAGATAATATTTACTTCCAAAGGGGAAAAGAAATTCTTATATATAAAACATGGCAGTCAGCTTAGTCTCTTGTGATAAAATTCATGTAGAAAAATAAACCTAATAACTACAAAAACTGCTATGGAAGATGAATATGAAGGGGTGACTATCCTTATCTGATATTAAAATGAATGATAAGGCTACAGTAATTAAAAGTGTCATCGGTACAGGAAGAGATCAATGGAATAGAGCTCAGAAATAGGAATTTAGTAAAGACTATGATGATGCTTCAGATCAATAAGGAAGAGATGAATTACTCCGTAGCTGGATATTGGGACAGTCATTTTGGGGTTGGGGTCAGGGGAGACTAATCACTACCTTATTCTTTATTAATAAATTCTAGATGGAATAATTAAATAAGACCTTAAACCTAGAAGCCCTGAAGGAAGATACTAGACTTTGACAATGTAAAATTTAAGAACTTTTGTACGGCAGAATACCATAAACCAAAAGTAAGTGGAAAGAATTGCAGTAAATTTTGTAAAACATAAAACAAAATATTGCTTTCCTTGGTAAATAATCAGGTCTTAGGAGTTAATTTTAAACAGTTCAAGAACGCTGTTCTGTTGAAAAGTGGAGAAAGGACATTAATAGATAGTTTACAGAAAAAAGAAATACAAATGACTTATAAACATGAAAATATATTCAACATCATAATTAAAGAAATACAAATTAAAACAAAAGTTTTTAAACCTCTTTCAATTAGTGGAAGTACGAAAAGGTCGATAATCAGTTCTGCTGAGTCTATAGGGAAATAAGCTCCTCATGCTTTTGTAAATTGGTAAAATCTCTTTGGAAGATTATTTGGCATTATTGTTCAAAGTTAAAAATACACAAACTCTGACAAAGTAATTGTAACATTTGGAATTTATCATACAAATAAATTCAAATATATGCGAATATATATGTACAAGAATATTGTAGCATTGTTTTTAGTTAACAGAACACTGGGGGAAAAAGTCTATATCCTCGTCAGTAGGGAAATACCTGGGTGGCTCAGAGGATTAAATGCTGACTGCTAGCCAAAAGATTAGTGGTTTGAACCCAGCCAGAGGTGCCTTGGAAGATCCTCCTGGTGATCACCTTCTGAAAGGTCACAGCCTTGAAAACCCCGTGGAGCAAGTCTGCTCCGCACACATGGGGTCTCCATGAGTCGGAATTGACTCAACGGCAATTAACAGCAACGGAATAATTTGAGTAATTTATGGAAGACGCTTATATGCAGGTAAAAATAATGACATGTCTATATGTTCTTTTAGAGAAAAATCTTGAAGATAAAACGTTAGGTGTAAAATCAAGGTACAAAGCATTGTGTAATATTCCCTCATTAATGAGTTTTTCCTTCTTTTTTAAGAAAAAAGCATATCCACATCTATGCAACGATTATTTTAGAAAGAATATGCAGAAGTCTTCCCAGTGGTGGAATGGGACCAATGGGAAGAGGGTTTAGGGTGGGAGACTTGTTTTTATTGCATACTATTTTACGTGGTTTTATTTTTTAACCATGTGCCTGTTATCTTTATAAAATTTTTAAAGAGAAAAAAAACTGTTGTGTTAAGCATTAAGAGAGAATCAGTGAGTGTCCTTTTTATATTTTCCACTCTTATGCATTGGGTTAACATTTAAACCTGAACAAATTTGATCTGGGATTTGTAAATCATTTTAGTCAGGATGCTTTGGGCTACAGGAAATGGAAAACCTTATTCAAAGCGATTTAAGTAAATGAAGAAAAGTATTATCTCCTGCAATAGAATGGCAGAAATAATGCAGTCTCCAGGATTGGTTGAATTCATCCTTCAACAGTGTTACCGAGGGCTCAGGTTCTTTCTGTGTCTTTGCTGTCCTCAATACCTGCTTCATCTTATTCTCCTTGTGGTTGTAAAATGACTCTGAGAAGCTCCTCCCTCATGCCTAGGTTTCTCTCAGTCTCACTGGGCTATCTTGAGTCGCATGTCTACCTCTGAACCAAAGATGGTCTCTAGGGAATGCCATAAGCTAAATGACTTGGACTAATCATTGGAGTAGAAAGTATGTTGGGGAATCAACTAGTCCACGTCCACTGCCTGCTTTCAGCCTAGGTCTTTGATAAATGGGATGCCTTTCATTAGTGTGAGTCGAATCGACTCGATGGCAACACGTTTTTGTTTTTTTTTTTCATTAGTGTTTCCCAGGGTTGCCTTTAGATGATGATATGGTATTTTTAAAGGGCACACTAAGTGCCTGTCATACAGTGTGATTCCAGAATGTCTGTACTTCCCTGTCTAGTTAATGTTGGGTTGTCTTCCAGTGTTCTTTTGGAGGTGTATGGCTCATTATATTTTATCTTTATATACTTCTAATCCCATGCCGGAAAGACATTGAGCTATAGTGGCAGGGTTTTTGCTGTTGATGTTGCGTTTTTATGTTAATGGGTAGGACCATCTTTATGCGTTGTTTCCTAAAGTAGTTTTTTCTTTTTGAGGGGGAGGATCTTCAGTTCATTAGAATAACTAATCATTTTCTTCTAATTGATGCACTGAAAAATAATTTTTTTTTTTTTTTTCAGAATAAATTTTACATTGAAACCAAGCTTAACAGAGACTTAAAGGACGACCTTATAAAGCTGTTTACGGAACATGTTGCAGAAAAGCACATCTACAGCCTAATGCGTAAGTCATTGAATTTATTATAGGGATGAGATAGTGATCTATTTTTTGTACGAGAGCATTGCCATATAAACTCCAATATTGACAGCTTTGGAACCAGTTCTTAAGAAGTGTTGAAGCCTCGTTTTATAGAGAGAGACTGAGAAATTGAAAATGTGACTTGAAGGTCACCCAGTAAGCCGACAGCAGCTTCGCCAGGTCATTCATTGGACAGTGCCCTCATGTCTGGCCTGATACTTGCTATCTTCCCCTCCCCCCAGTAACTGGAGAAATATTATTGGGGGGTCACCCCTAACTTCGTTACCAGTAATTTTAGAAGGATTGCAATCTCTAAAATGCTCTCTGATTTTGACTCTTTTGGCTCTATCATGGAGCCCTGGTGGTGCAGTGATTAAAGTGCTCGACTGCTAACCAAAAGGTCGGTGGTTTGAACCCATCAGCCGCTCTGTGGGAGGAAGATGTGGCAGATTGTTTCTGTAAAGATTTACAGCCTTGGCAACCCTGTAGGGCAGTTCTACTTTGTCCTGTAGGGTCACTATGATTCGGAATCAACTCGATGGCAGTGGGCCAGTCAGTTGGTCAGTTCTGTCATTTGCTATGTATCTCAGGGAGGCTTCTTAGTCTCTTGTGGTCCTGTGTTTTCTGTGAAATTGGGATTTGTAAAGTGTTTAATGTGGTGTCTTAGTCATGTAGTGGTGCTGTAACAGAAATACCACAAGTGGATGGCTTTAACAAAGAGAGGTTTATTTTCTCACAGTCTGGTAGGCTACAAGTCCAAATTCAGGACATCAGCTCCAGAGGAAGGCTTTCTTTCTGTTGGCTCTGGAGGAAGGTCCTCGTCGTCATCAATCTTCCCCTGGACTAGGAGCTTCTCTGCAGAGGAACCTTGGGTCCAAAGGACCCGCTCTGCTCCCAACACAGCTTTCTTGGTGGTATGAGGTCCCCATGTCTCTGCTTGCTTCTCTCTTTTATATCTCAAAAGAGATTATCATAAGACACTATCTAATCTTGTATATGTCGTCAGAATAACTGCCTGCTAATCCGTTTTATTACATCTTAGTGATAGAGTTTACAACTCGTAAGGAAATCACATCAGAGTACAGAATGGTACACAGTCATACAATACTGAGAATCATGACCCAGCCAAGCGGACACATATTTTTTGGGGACACAGTTTAATCCATGACATGTGGCAGTGTGCGTAATTAAGAAAGCAGATCAAAGTGTCAAGCCCAGCTAGTTTCTCTTGTCTTCACATTCCTGTGCTCCCGGCCCCTCATACTAGGTGGATTCTCATGTTAAGAATATACCTCTCCAAGTGGAATTTAGGAAGTCCCTATAACCCAGTGTGTTGGCATGCTTTAAAAGCTCATATTTTATGTAATACATCAAGTCATTGTTCAGAATTTTGCATACATAATATTTGAATTTACAGTATGTACTGTTTTTGCTTTCCTTTTAGTCATAATTAGTTTCTACTACAGTGAGCCCTGATGGTGCAGTGGTTAAGAGCTCGGCTGCTAACCAAAAGGTTGGCAGTTCAAATCCACCAGCTGCTCCTTGGAAACCCTATGGGGCAGTTCTGCTTTGTCCTATAGGCTCGCTATGAGTTGGAATCAACTGGATGGCAATGGGTTTTACAGTGAACTTTTACTAGAATTTACAAAAGGATTGTTCTGTTATTAACCACAAACTCTTTTTCATTTAAATTAAGAGATGGAACTTTTAAACATTGGGCCACTTTATTTTAGAAAGGTAGGGTTTTCAAATCATACTGTAGATGAGAATAATATGTTTCATTTTTATGTTTCCAATAAATTCTAGAATCTTGGGATATAACATGTATTTTTTTTGAAGGTTGGAGAGATGTTTACAAACATCTTTAAACATTATCTCATGAGTTATTCCAGCTATTAATTATAGCCATTCAAGCATTTCCTTTGATGTTGACATTGCTATATTGCTTTCATTGTAAAATAAAACATAGCATTTTGAAGTCTTTCCTCTTAAAATGCTATAGAGAAATGCTGCCGTCTGGTAAAAAGCTTATTTACTTTGTAACTATGTTTATATTTCTTGGTAATTTGGAAATCAACTTTGTTGGGCGTATACAAAGGGAATATTCAAAAGAAAATATAATAGTCCATATCTGCTATCTAGAGGAATATTCCTACTCATTTTTTATTTAAAAAAATTATAAAGTGTTTGTGTGGTAGTAGAGAAAGTAAAAGAAAACTGGCTCCTCGGTCATGGGCAGAGGCAGGTTCACAGGGTTACCAGGGTTGTGAAGGTGAGCAGGATACCCTCAGTTAGAAAAAATGCACTCGCAGCCATAGCATTTAGGAAAGTGAGTCTCTGACCCTGATCACAGTTACTAAAATTACTAGTACGTGCCTTTCAGAAAAGGCCAAGAGCCTCAGATGTGATGATTTGGTGGAAGGAGAAATGATTGAGGGAGTTTACTGTGTAATGTTATAAAGTCTAGAGAACATTTTAGTCCCCAGATGTAAATCTTTTGTATCACGAACTTAATAGAAGCACTTTCAGCTCACTCACTAAGTAGCATGAATACTGTTACAGATTGAATTGTGTCCACCCCAAAAATATATGTCAACTTGGCTAGGCCATGATTCTCAGTGTTACATAATTATCCTCCATTTTGTGCTCTTCATGTGATTATCCTCCATTTTGTCATCTGATGTAATTATCCTGTGTGTTGGAAATTCTAACCTGTATGATGTTAATGAGGCAGGACACAATCTACAGGATTAGGTTGGATCTTGAGTAAATCTCTTCTGAGATCTAAAAGAGATTAAACAAGCTAGCAGAGATCGAGAGACCCACTACCTCCAAGAAAGAAGCGCCAGCAGCAGAGCGCATCCTTTGGACCCGGTGTCCCGGCTCTGAGAACCTCCTAGAGCCGGGGAAGGATTGTTGCCAAGACACAAGGAGATTTCCAAGGAAAGGTAGGCTCACAGATACTGAAAGGAGACAAGGACCTTTCCCCAGAGCTGACACAGAGAGAAAGCCTTCCCCTAGAGCTGGTGCCCTGACTTTGGATTTCTAGCCTCGTAAACTGAGAGAAAGTTTCTGTTTGTTAAAGGCAACCACTTGTGGTATTTCTATTATAGCAGCACTAGATAACTAAGACAAATACTATTGCTTTTAGAAAGCTTTGCTTAGTTATTTTTAGAACTTCTGTGAATTGAATCATTCATTCCCGTTAGTGTTCCAACAGACCTGCACATATTTACTTGGTAGATAATGAACTACTGCATCGGATTTATTTTTTTAAAAAAAAAAAAAACCTTTAGTATAAACTCTTGATTTGTCTTCTTAGGACGTTCTTCTCTTGCACTTGTTTACCCTTTAGTCTTTGGGAGAGAAAGTAATATAAAGAGAAATATTGGCAGTGTTACATCCTTCTTATAACATCGTTTCTTTATTTCAGCTTTACTTTTAGAAGCCCAGTCAACACCATTTCAGGTCACGCCTTCAACTATGGCAAATATTGTGAAAGGCCTGTATACTCTCAGACCAGGTAAACTTTCATAATTTCTTTTGGTATTGGACTTGTTTGTTTATGGCAGTTCCAGCCTTGTCCAAGGGGCAATGTTTCCATAGGGGTTTTGTGAGGGCTAATGGTATTTAGGCAGCCCTGGTGGCACTATGGTTAAGCGTTTGACCACTAACAAAAAGGTCAGTAGTTCAGTCCACCAGCCACTCTATGGAAACCCTGTGGGGTAGTTCTCTGTCCTATAGGGTCGGTATGAGTTGGAATCGACTTGACAGCAATGGGTTTTTGTTTTTTAATGGTATTTAGATTTGCTATAGCAAAAAAATTGAATAGACATTCATTGTTGTAGAATGTAAACTCAGGACTCACTTGGAATTCTTTCTCTCTTACTGAAAACAAAATAATTTGGTTTTTGTAGCACCTGTGAGGAAAATACAAGAAATAATTTGTAGGAGACACTAGATAAATTGAATCACATATCTGGCCTTAATCTTTGTTTTTATTTTTATGGACTTTCTCTTTCACTTTCTACCCTGCACTGCAAATATGCACAGACATTCACAGCTCCATTTTCTTAGGCCTGTTATGTAACTTGCAAGGAGTCTAGCAGTGTTGGCAAAGTTGCAGTCATTTTATAAGGATGTTTTAGGGAGAGAAATAATCAGAATAGCAGAACCAAAAATCAAGGATCACTATATTCAAAGGCATGATTTGTAAATGAATGTAATCTGTTTCGGAATAATGGAGCCCTGGTGGCACAGTGGTTAAGCACTCAACTGTTAACCGAAAGGTCAGAGATTCAAACCCACCAGCTGCTCTGCAGGAGAAAGATGTGGCAGTCTGCTGCTGTAAAAATTTACAGATTTGGAAACCTTATGGGGAAATTCTTCTCTGTGCTATAGGGTTGTTATGAGTTGGAATTCGACTCAAAGGCAGTGGGTTTGGTTTTTGGTTTGATCTTAGAATAACAACATACATTTAATTTAAAGGAATCTCAGGATAATTTCTTATATATCCTCCTGTCTGTTTGTAAGTCAGAGGTCCCTGGGTGGCACAAATGGTTTGCTCTTGGCTACTAACTGAAGGGTTGGTGGTTTGAATCCACCCAGTGGTACTGTGGAAGGAAGGCCTGGTGATCTATTTCTGTAAGACTACAGCCATTGAAAACCCTATGGAGTGCAGCTCTGCTTTGACACACATGAGGCCTCCATGGTCAGAATTGACGACTTGACGAATTTGGATTTTCTTTTTTTGTTTGTTTTATTTGTAAGCCAGAACCTACAACTCCCTTTACAATTCTTTAGTCAATTAAAAAATGTCCATGGGAGAGAGATTGCAAAAGTTCTCAGAGTAGGACATTGTTCTCCAGTCTGTAAACAGAAGGGATGCTTCTTTTTAGTAATTGCCTTTTCGTCAAAATATTTTATCATTCGAGAATTAAATGAAATAAAATGTGAAATAAGAGCTTAACACAGTACCCAACACATAATAAACATAAAAACATTAACTGTTATTATTACTAGCCAGTTGGGTTTAATGATTATTTTAATTAAGTGATGGCTTGATTATTTGATTAACTAATTTAAAAGACAACATGTATCAGGATTTAGCTTGTTAAAATGGAAATCCAGTGAAAACTGGTATCAAGACAGACTGTGATGTCAGAAATTACCTTCTTTCTCAGGCTACTTTAAACTACTAGTGACTTCTAGAGTATTTACGTTTTCTGTTACCTAAATTTGGATCAGGTCTTGAGCTCTAGACCTCGTAATTTTTAAAAGAAATTACTTGTATAAAATAGCAGAAATATTTTATTACCTGTGTCCGATCAACTGAATATTTGTCTAGTTTCTCAGAATTTTAAATTTTATTACAGTGTGATGAGAATGGCTCATGAATTTTTTTTAGTGCTAGTTTATGAATTTTTTTTCTGTTAGACGGCATCTATCCATATGCAGTATGGCAAACTTCTAAATTCTACCTCCCATGCAGGCAGTTTTAGCATAACTCAGCTCTAGTTTTTATCATAAATAACAAAATCTCAGAATAAAGCTAATCACTAAAAGTATAAAAAATTGAAGGTACACGTTTCTCTGAATGCCGTTTTATCCAAGTTTGAGCTCTTATAGTGGAGTTCATACTACTTCTGAGGAGAATCCTGTATTCGAGAATTAGCCTTTTGAAAAGGTGAACTTTATCACAGACTAACCTTTTGCTGCCTCAGGCATTTTCTGAGATACTTTTAAACATATTTTGACATTTATGTGCCTTGCCAGTACCCTTTGTATTCCTGGTTTATTAAAGCATTTTTATTCACCTGACAGATTAAGGTTAGAGTATTTTCAAGTGTGGAAGTTTCTGCCATTGCAGTGGTTCTCAGGTGCCGGTCTATGTAGGCTGCATCTGAATCACCTTAAGGAAGTTTTTTAAACTGCAGATTCCTGGGCTCTAATCCTTGGAGATTCTGATGACTGTTTCCATTTTTGGTGTGTTTCCATCCAGTCTGTAGAAGCTTAGTTTAGAAGTCGCTCCAGCACTCCCATCCTGCCTTTCTTCATTTAACACGCATGCACTTTCTTTGTCTTTATTTTAACACCTGCCTGGAGTGGCGTTCTATTGAGTGGCAGATAGGTTTGACTCCTGCCAGCTGTGACTGATTGGTTGGTTGGTAACCACTAACCAACTGAAACCATATTAAGACTCTTCCTAAAGCCGTATCTGAACGAAGCTGGAAGGGGGGACGCTGTTGCCAACATTTTGCCATGAGTTTGTGTGGGGGAGTGCATTGACCTTTGTGTCACTCGAGGTGCTTGTTCATTTGCTGGCTCTGGTTTAGCTGCTCTCAACATCAGTGGGTGTTGAGATTACTTCCACTGACGCAGCATTGAACAGTGTCAAATGTGGCGTTTTTGGTATTTAAAATTATTTGGAGTCCCTGGGTGGTGCAAACAGCTAACGCACTTGACCGCTAACTCAAATTACACTTTTTAAGATGAGCTTACTGGATTAAAGAGCATTGGCATTTTTATGGTTTTTAATATAGACAGTCACAATGTTTTCCAAAGGGGAACATTTGAAAGAGCTGGATTAAAAGAATCCAGAAGGGTTAACAATGCTAATTTAGGGCCAGCAAGGAAGGAGAGTCCTGGTTTCGTCATGCTTTTGATGCAGGTGGGCATTATTTGAATTTAATACTCACTGAGTAGGGAAGTGAGAGTATTTATGTTTGCTTTGATTTTTCTGAATATTAAAAAATCTACTTATTAATGTTTGTGTTTTTTCTTTCTTGCAAATTATCCAGTCTTGTTTTTCACCCATTTATTTGGTCTTATTGATTTGTACAAATGCTGTTTATTAAAGATACTAATTCATCTTTGTCATATCTAATGCAGATACTCTTCTCAGCCTTTGTTTTGCCTTTTCATTTTGATACATGAAATTTTTTTGTCTATAGATTATTCTCTTGATCTTTTTCTTAATAATTTGATAACCATTTAATTCTCTTACACTATTTAATTTGCTGTAACTTAACGTGGATCAAAATAGATTTTTATTTCCACAATACTAACCAGTTATCCACTTTTTAACTTTTCAGCCTCCCCCTTTTTGTGACTCTGCCTTTTTTAGATGTCTGCTTATTACTACCTGTACTCTTCTATTCTTGGGCCAGTATATTGTTGTAATTAATGCCTAGTAGGGCTGGTATTTCCACCAAGCTCCTTCGCTCCACTTCTAAATGGGAGGGCCCACTTAGAATTGTTTGATAATCTCATTCCTGCCTTTCTCCATATTTAGGCTTTTTGACAACATCCATTTGAAAATTCTCTAGGAATTTTCATTAAATTCTGTTAAATCAGTAGAATGTATAAAATATAAAATTTCCTGCTTTCTTCATATTGCAAGTTCTTTTTAGAAAGAAGTTTAACCTCCACATATGTGCTTTCCAGAATAGGGTTGCATTTTTCCCCCATTTTAAATTTGATTTAATATACCTTTTTATTCTTTGAACAAAAAAAATTTCCCTTTTCCAGCTGATTTAATCTATGTGATTTTCTTCATGAATTTTTTCCTTTTCTTACAGAATGGGTTCAGATGGCTCCAACTCTGTTTTCTAAATTTATTCCAAACATTCTCCCTCCGGCGGTAGAATCTGAACTTTCTGAATATGCTGCTCAAGATCAGAAACTTCAAAGAGAACTTATACAGAATGGTTTTATGAGGCAAGTTTTTTTTTTTTCTTCCTTCTTTAATGACCAAATATATCCATTACCTAGGCCAGTTTGGCTTGGCAGGGGCGGGGTGCAAGGGTTAGAAGGGAAATAACTACCCAAGAGTGAAAGGTGCTACCCAGGGAGAGAAGTTAGCTCCCTATGGCTGGGAATGTTGAAGCTGTGTTTTGATTTTATGAAGGTGCTCTTCACTAAATAGATTTTAAAGAAAGGACTTCTCATTGGCTGGGCAACCTCCAAGAACTCTTTTAATTCTGTTTCTCTCTTGTTCGTTCTGAACATTTGAAAGAACGTTGTAGAAAAGTTATAGTTAGTTATAATGTACTTTTATCCTTAAACTTGCAAAGAGGCTTTAGATTCTGTATTTCATATCTTCACTTTTGCCGTAAATTCTAGTTGTTTCTTCTTAAGAGGTGCAGTGTCTCTTTATACATGTCAAAATTTTGCATTCCTGGGTTTTGATGTATACACCTTATTAATTTTCCTAAAATTTGCAATTTAGTATTATGCACATATCCCAGAAAATCTTGCAAAGTGCATATGTTCAACTAAAGTAAATTAAAATAAAGATTTTGTGACTCCCTATGGGGAAACACCGATTTATGTTGCCGGATCATTGAAGGGCATGGTAATACCTTACATTCCATAATCTTTACTGTTTACTTAGCACTTTTACATATCCTCTCTTATTTGAATCCCTGGCATAAAGGAAGAAAGGTGTGGTAAGGAAGACACTGAGTCCTAACTTAGGCCCAGTTGTGTCCACAAATAGGTTGAGCGCTGACTCAGGTAGGGCTAGGGCTGGGGCACGCATTCCCTTCCAAAGGTTCCGAGGCCAAGCCATCTCAGGAGAACCAGTCTTGAGTTATAGCTAAGTTTTTCCATAAATAATTTTGAATGTATGCCAGGTGATCTGTGTGTACCGTTTATGTTTTTGTCAATTTCACCAAAATTTTGAAGTCTTTTATGTTTTCGTTCCTGTTTTATTTGAATGTTTGCTTCTAATTTGAGAGTTGAGCTTACTAATACCTTTAAAAGCTTTCTTCTGAATGCTTTTATCACTGTGAAGCAGTGGAGGACTATAGCTCGTGAGGATTTCTCAGAGCACCTTGAGTTCACCTTCCAGAACTCTGTGGAAATGTTTAAACACGTCCGGAGACATTCCCCTAATCTTCATTCGAGAACTGGAATAAGAGGGCAGGGTGCAGGGCTGCTTGGTATAGTAGCTCTCGTGTAAAATTTGCTTGGATGAGATGAGTACTGACTCCATAAATAGCCCTTCTGGTGACATTACCTTTGTACGTGAAGGTCTGAACATGCCACTGGTCAGCGAAGGCCACGTTAGTCACATTCAGGGAATTGGAATTTTTGTTTCTCTTGAATGGAATGCTTTCCTACAACTTCCGGCTGCAATTTAAACAATATTCCAAGAGGTAATGAAATTAAAATGTTTTAGTTTACAAACTTAATTGGGCCATTTTTATTATTAAACTAATAATTTATTATACATTTACTATGAGGATTAAACTCCGCCTCATAAATTATTCTGATGGTAGCCTACCGAAGCTGACATTCTCATATTCACTCCATTGCTCTCTGTGTTTACTAGTATTGGTCAGAAAGGACTTGCACAAACCATACTCAGCAGCTGATGGAAGGCCCGCTTACGTTTCCAGCTCTTGTGGATGGCCTTCCACAGCCTGCCCTGCCAGACATGATGCCACCTTTGATCTTATTTGGCTAGGATAGTTCTGGAAGATATGGTGTCCACTGATGTAAAAATAACATTGAGAATACAGTACAGGATATTGCAAGAATTCTGTTACTGGCTATTCTGATATGAGCAATCATTTTATGGTTTATGCCTAGCCAACAGCATGATTCCTGCTCAGCTTTGCAGACTACTTTTTTCATTTAAGATTATGTTCCACTTACTTGATGTAGGGGTTCTGGATAGGCAGTACAGGCTTAATGTGGACGGCACAGAGTAAGTCTTTGAAGTGTTTTGAAATAATAAGTGAATATTGGCAGTTAGTGGACAGATTTTCATCTGAGCTGGAGTTTATGTGAAACATGATCTCGAGGTTCACGGAAATACAGAGTGAACTTATTTCAAAGCTAGAATTAACATACAAGCTAAAAACAATGCTTTCTTTTTATCTGCTACCTGCATAATTTACTCAGTTTGGGGATTGATGTCTGATGTCAAAGATTACATTCTGGAAAAGAAGCTCATTTGGGAACTTTTAAAATGCAGGCCTCAGCTGGAGCAGCCTCATTCACACCAACCTATGGTCTCCTTCAAGAATGTACCAAATAACTTTTAAAGGAAATAAAATGTTCTTTCTAAAATGATGACCTCAGTTACCTAAATAGAGCCTTGTGGGGTATTGCCAGTCTTTTTACCTGAGTGGGTCATACTATAACTGGGGGCTTTTTCATTTGGTAGCAGAGATCTGGTTTTCAGGGCAGCATACAGCCTTCCGAACTTGTGAGATTAGATGTTATCTTTGGCAGCCTGTTCCATACACCACGTTTATGTTCTTTCTTCTTGCCTCCTGTTGTTTTCACGCTTGTATTTTTCTTCTGTTGTTTTTGCATGTTCGTTTTTTATTTAGCCTTTGGGGATTGGGAATGAAGGTAGTCTGTGGAAGTTGAGGTTCTAGATATAAAATTCTGTATCTTCCTTTTTGGTTAGCATTAACTTGTTTCAGGATATTTGGTGAATGCTACTGTGATGGTACTAGTGTAAGTAACACTGTAAGACATGCAGCTGGCTTTGGCTAGGTATGGTGTTAACAGGAGAGGTGTTTAAAAAGCGGCACGGGAGCGAATCTGTTTAGGACTCCTTAGGCTGCCAGAGGCTAGTTCATACTGAACGTCGTGCGTGTTTTTCTCGCCTGGAACAAAAACCTCCAGAGGCCTTTTGGTGTGTTTTCCTTCCTGCCAGTCATCAAGGCTCCTCACACCCCCCAGCAAGCAGCTTCTGCCCTAGTCTTAAGCTTAACCAGAAAAGAAAGTGGGAAACTTTGGTTATCTGAAAGATTATTCAAAAGCAGGAAATAATTATTTGGGCTAACATTTTAATAATTTCTAGAGACTATGAATTATACACTCATTTGTTAATCTGACAAATATGTATTGAATATCTACAGTATGTTAAACACTGTTTTAGACACGGGGGTGAACAAGACAGGCAGAGTCCCTGCTTTTAGGGAGTTTCAGTTCTAGTGTTGGGAGATAACCACTAAGCATTTAAATAAGTGAATCCCTTCAGGTAACAGTGCTAGGGGGCGAATAAAACAGAATGGGGTCGCGAGTGAGTCACCAGGCAGTGTGTGAGGGGCTCTTCAGCTTACTCGGTCATGTCATGCCTTCTGAGGAAGCCACAGTCCAGCTAGGGCCTGGATGATAATTGGACAGTCATGTGGTCTGCTGGGAGGAGGAGTGTTGCAGGCAGAGAAAACAGTACAAAAGGCTGACATGTCCAGGGGACAGAAAGGGAGCCAGGGTGGCAGAAGTATAGTGAACAGAGGTAGAAAATGAGGTTGAGAGGTAAGCAGGAGACATATCACAGAGGGCCTTGTAGGCTGGGGAAATGAATTTGAATTGATTTTAACTGCAGTGGAAAGCCCCGGAAGGGCTTAAACAGAGGTATGAAATAATCTTATTTATGCTTTTACATAAAATCACTCTGACTCTTGTCTGGAGAAAGAGCAGTTGAGGGGTGAGAGTGGAAGTAATAATAAGACTCTTGCACTTGTGTAGGGAAAAGTTGATAGTGACTTGGATTAGGATTGTAGCAGTAGAATTGATGAGGAGTGGTTGATTTTGGATTATGTTTGGGGACAGAAAGCTCCAGATCGAGGTCAAGTGGAATCAAGGATGATCTAGGATTCTGGCCTGAATAATTGGTTGGATGGTGGTGCCATTGATTGAGATGGAGACTGAGGAAGGAATGGGTATGGAGTGGTGTCGAAGCATTCTGTTCTGGCCATAGTAGATTTGTGATATGTATAAATCATCCAAGTAGAAAAGATGATGAATCAGTTAGACCTAGAAATTTGAAATATAGGGAAAAAATTGAGGTTGAAGATACAAATCTGGGAGTCACTGGCATTTGAGTGGTATTTAAAGCCACAGGACTGGATATGAACACTCTCCTAGACTAAGGAGAATGTACATCAAGAAGAAAAGATGGCCAAGGACAGAGTGGACAGAGCCAACAAAGGAGACTACAGAGGAATGGCGACGAGGTAGAAGGAAAGTCAGAATTGTGTAGTATCACAGAAGCCTAAAGAGGAAGTGTTTCAGGAAGGACGAGATCAACTATGTAAATGCTGCCAAGAGATCAAGGAAGAAAAAGCTAGTGAACTGGCCATTATTACTCATGACTTGAGCATCTTGGTCTTTTGTCTGGATTATTGTCTGAGAAGCTGGGAGACTTAAATAAGATTTACAGGTTGTATCAGGCCTAATCAGAATATCTCTAAAGTGGGTTAGCTTCTTCTATAGGTGTTTGGAGATGGACTGAGTAATATGTGCAAAGGTTCATGCTCTTCTACCTGCAAGAAGGCCATTAAGGTACATTAAGATTCGGGAATTTTTGAAAGGTTTTAGGCAATGTTGGGTCTTATAATAGGACTTTTGAGGTGTTTAAAGCACTTGGCTGCTAACCAAAAGTTCGGCGGTTCAAGCCCACCAGCTGCTCCACGGGAAAAAGATGTGGCAGTCAGCTTCTGTATAGATTTACAGCCTTGGAAACCCTATGGGGCAGTTCTACTCTGTGCTATAGGGTCACTATGAGTTGGAATCAACTTGACGGCAGTGGTTTTTGGGTTACTTCATATTCGAGATTTGCCTTAATATATGGTGGTTCAGTGGTTAAGTGTTTGGCTGCTAACCAAAAGATTGGCAGTTCGAATCCACTAGCTGCTCCTCGGAAACCTTATGAGGCAGTTCTGCTCCGTCCTGTAGGGTCACTGTGAGTTGGAATCAACTCCACAGCGGCGGGTTTGGTTTTGGGTTTTTTATATGGTCACTAGGAATGTTGATAGCCAAACCCAGATTTATCTTCAAAGACATATTTTAGTCTGTACTTATTTCCAGAACCCAGTGAAAACCATCTTTATAGATGATCCTTCCTCCATTTAATAGCTTCCTTTATTTAAAAGGGAGCCCTGATGGTGCAGTGGTTAAGAGCTCAGCTGCTGACCAGAAGTTCGGCAGTTCAAATCCACCAGCTGCTCCTTGGAAACCCTGTGGGGCAGTTCTCCTCTGTCCTGTAGGATCGCTATGAGTCGACTCGACAGCAACGGGTGTTATGTTTAAGCTTAAATGTCTATTTTTACTAGATTGTTGGTTAGAACTGTAATATAATATCTGCTATAAACTATACTTCCATTATTATATCAGTTCGTTTCTTCTGTTTTGGTGTGTGAAGAAGCCTGTTGACTCCCTCTTATTTTCTTGTCTCCAGAGGTGACCAGTCCCGGAAGAGAGCTGGGGATGAGTTGGCTTATAGTAAGTACTGGTGTTCCTTCACATCTCTGATGGTTCTGTGATGTTAGGTAGCCACTGGCAGTGACTGCAGTGAGTATAACAATACCTGTCATGTTCCTGATGGTGCTCCCATGAGGCATGGTACGTGATCAAGGGCAAACTGAGTGTTCTGCAAGCTGTGGCAGCTCTGAAACCCAGTTGATGGCAGTTGTCCAGAGGCCACCAAAGCTCAGTCTTTAGCATCTACTTGTTGGTGCCATTGAGTCGCTTCTGACTCTTAGTGATCCCATATGACATATAGAAAACCCTGTATGCCCCATAGGGTTTTTTAGGCTGTAATCTTTACAGGAGCAGATCGCCAGGTCTTTCTCCTAAGGAGCTGCTGGGTGGGTTCGAACCACCAACCTTTCGGTTAGCAGCCAGGTGCTTAACTGTTTGCATCACCAGGGCTCCTTATTAGCATCTACTAGAATAGGATGGTGTTGCAGTTTCAGTTCCTGATGAGCCAGCCCCCCTTCACTTCACTGTATAGATTATTCCACATAGTTTTGAGGTTATTATTTTTTTTTAAAGTCCCCTTTTAGGGGATTGGGAGAGGGGTGATAAGTATGTGTTGAATAAGCAGATTGCCTGCCATGGTCACATGCTGTCTGCTCTTCATACTTCTTCCTGTTCCAATGTTTTTTAGGCGGCTCATCAGCATGTGCAAGTTCCAGAGGCTACAGATAGTGAATGTATTGAATGTACTTTGGTTCCTGCAAAGAGGACACACTGGAGCTGCAGACTCTTCAGGGCACAGCAGGCATCCTGTACACATGCAGGAGCTCTGTCACAAAGCTGTTCTTGGAAGGAGATGTTGGACTTCTGACTTCGGTTTGTAATTTTAAAAAAACAAAAACAGTTGCTGCTAGACTTCGGGATGATTTGGAAATGGGACAATCTCCTAATGAGTTTATCTATGGATTCCATGAGGAACAAGCATCTTGGAAAGTGACCATAGCTAAGTGAGAACCGGCAGCCAAAATCAGCAGCTTCCTCCAAAAATACAGGAGCAGAAGAATCTCTCTATTTTAAAGCACTCGTTTTGTTCATTCGTGGACTTGGCTCTTTGGTGTATTGGTTTCACATGTCAAGATATCTTTTGCTTTGAAAACAAGCATATCATTACAATACAGTATTTTTTGCCCATAACCAAAACAACCCCTTTTAAAAGAATTGGTCTTTGTTTAGCATTAGAAAGTCTTGTTAAAGAAAAATGCTAACTCAGCTTTTGCTATACCTTTTCCCCCCATCAGTTCTCTTTTCTACTCTGTGCCTTGAGCTTTGTGCACTTTGCAACTGTGTGATCATGTCAAACTCACCAATGCTCCCTGAAGAAGTTAATGGTATCACAAAAGAACCTACCAAAATGTCAGGTGTGACTTCGGAGCGCGATGCTGATGAAGTGGGAAGATAGAAGCAGGTTGCACATGGGTCAGATTCTCTTCCTGCTTCACTATTAGCATATTCATGTTGATGTCAGGGACCAACTCGTGTAGAACATTTCCAGTCTGTCCCTTAACACGGTTTCACCAGCTACTGTAATGTTGTCCGTATGCTAGTTTGGGGTGGGGTGCTTCAGCACTAAAGCTCCCCTCTAAATAGCGTTGCCAGTTATCCAGCAGTAAGAGCTGTTTCCTCTGATGCTCTAGGAAGCAGATACGGTTATTAATCAGTGGTGTGGGGCTCCTGATCCATTGCATTTTAAATGGGTGAGATAAGTACTTTAAAAAGTCTACAGTCTGCATCTTTTAAACAGTGTATTGCGTGTAACAGGAAAGAAGTAGCACTGCTGTTTTAAGGCTGCCTTCCAGCTGAAGCAAAGCTGTCTTTTCTGCTCTTTTACGCCCACAGTGCTATTGCCTTCTTTATAAAAAGTCTCTGAAGCTTATTCTAGTTGTTTTTGAAATGCAAAGATGCAGCAAGGGAAAAGTGGTTTTCTTTTCGATTTTGCTTGAATCTAAATTGAGCATAGGTTTCACTCTGTTCGGCGGTGTCAGACTAATATTTACTTTTCCAGAGAACTCGAGGCAATGAAAACATATCAGGGCTACTGTCACACTTCTGATTTGCAGGCTTTTCTATAGAGTTGCCTCTGCAAGTTCAGTTTGTCCTTTTTGGGGGAGTGGGGTGAGTGGGAGAGTTAGAAGTGTGATATTGGAAGCAAGGAAGTCATCTAATAAGTCCTCTGTGAAATTACTAGACAGAGAAGTAAACGTAAAGGTTGTCAGATTTATTTTTCTAAGTACTTATCAACCAGCATTGGTGGGTTTTGTGGAGGACTTTGAATCGGACTCATTTAACTCTGTGAGCATCTGAGATTATATTGGTAAACGCTGAATGACCATAGGAATATAGACAGACTCTCAGTATGACCTGTACCGTTTGATTTGCCACATCAGTAACGTTCTAGTATCAAGGAAGAGTATTGATACTCCCTTATCATGAAGTCCAAATTTTCCTTTTCTCAGTGGAATTTTTTGGCTCCAGGCTTATAATTTACACCTGGCTCTCCTATTATTTTCATTACCTGTTGAAATTTGCCCAGCTTCTGGCCACCAGAATAGACAAGAGAAGCCCTATGCTTTCACAAGGGAAGTGATTCCTGATTACTTTTGATAATAATTCTGAAAGAAAGTAAAATTGGAACATTTCTTTAAATGCGGATGAGTTCTTCAAGTATCCTGATAATATACCCAAATGCTTTTTCTGGGAGAGAGCACACTTTTTTGGCCAGCAGCAGCAGAACTTTGCCTATAAAAGCATTGTACTCTGATGTGAATTAGCATTAAAATCTTTGGATGCTTTTGCATTTTTAAGTTAATTGCAGAAGTATTTCTGATTGTCTTTTATTGTGTATGTGTTACAAAAAGTGGACAAAATATAGTTTCTGTAAATTTTTGCACAGTGTCTGCAGCCAACTATGAGGCAGGGCTTGATACTGCAGAGCCGTGACTGGAAGGCTCTATAGAAAGGGTTACACATCTTCCTGGTGCACCTTGTCACTCACCTCGGCCCCTTGAGGTACACTGCAAGATGAAGAACTTCTTAAGCTGAAATTGACCTTGCTTATTTAATCAGGATTCTTATCAGAGTCCTTTGTTTGCAACAAGAAAAGAAATCAGATTTACCCTCCATTGTGTATTGATGAGCACTGTTTGCCAGAAAGTATTTTCCTGTCAAGTTTACTTGTATTCTAGCCAGTGCAGTGTACAGAGCTGAGAAGCTCAGTTAAGTGCTGGCTTTTGTGGAGCCCAGATCACTGAATTGTGCATGCAGACTGATTGTCTGCTTCGTCAGCAAGTGCAGCTGATTTGGCTAAACTGACTAGGATGTATACTGAAACTAGACCCTTAAACAAAAGCCACTTCATACCCTAGTCCTTTTCAGCTCTAGAATCACCTTGAAGTCATGACCTATAAAAGTAAATAGGTGATCACTGTTTTCAGAGACGGTACTGTCTTTTAAAGGTTGGCCTTAAGCTGCAGTCACAGTGCCATCTCATTACCTCTGTTGTCACAGCTGCACCCGGACCTGACAGGAACTACTACTTTGTTTTCTGGGGGCAGAAAGGTAAACCTGGGATGGTGACTCTTACCTAATAGTTCTTGGGGTTAAGGAAAAGAAACACAAACCTGGAATGCATGAGTTGTGCATTTTTAAACTTTGTAGAAAAGTTGCCTTTTCTGTCCCTTTTACAAGTTTGAGGCAGTTACCCTCCTTTCCTTTAGGGGGGACGTAGGATGGAAACGAATTTGTGAGTGAATGGTTGGCAGAAGTTTCTATGCCCTCGGCCGGCTGTGAACGCTGCGCACGCGTCTCCTGTGCAGCAGGCGTGAATGCTGCGCACGCGTCTCCTGTGCTGCAGGCGTGAATGCTGCGCACGCGTCTCCTGTGC